TCTCTCTCTCTCTCTCTTCTGTTCTTCTCTCTCCTCTCTCTCCTCTCTTCTGTTCTCTCACTCTCTCTCTCCTGGTTCTCCCTTGGAGATCTCTACATGCCTTGGTGTCTGTCTTACCCCATCTCTGCTTGCTTGTGATTTAATCTCTTTTGATCTCCAGAGAAATGGACTGGAGATACAGCCTACACTAATCCTGACTTATTAACGTAGCAAAGATAACCCGTTCCCAGATGAGAGTATCGCCAGAGGCATAGGGGTTAAGATTCACAACACATTGTATGAGGGGTGCATAATTTAACCTGGAACACAAGAGTGATCTCCCCTCTTCATTCCAGTTTCAATCAGTAGCAGTTCTCACAGACCTGTCTTGGTTCTGCCCCATTCCCCCAGGATCTTTTAGCCCTGTGGGGAAAACCAAGTGCCAGGCATGTCAATACCCCTTCTTCTCAATATACTGTCATGGAGTGGATTCCAGCTGACTGACGTGGACCCTATCAGATAGGGTAGAAGTGCCCCTGTGGGGTGCAGAGGCTGTAACTCTTCCCGGCAGTGGAAAACCTCATTCTTCTCCCGTGGAGAAGAGGTAGCTTCTTTCTTGGATGTGGAAATTGAGTCCCCGGAGATCCAAAAAGGCTGTCAGTGGCAGAGCAGGTACATTACGTGCTCAGGTGTGTCCTTGGCTGGCCCCCACATGCATCAACACAGAACAAATGATGGCCTGCACGTCCTGGCCAGCTGCTGGACACATGTGTTCCTACACAAGGTTACTCACACAAATGGATCCTGGCTGGTCAGGTGCAGGGGCCCCTATCCTTACTATTTATCCTACCTCTCTTTGGGGCATCTTTTGTCCCCTTTACTTTAACTTCTTTACTTTCTTTTAAAAAGATATTTTATTGATATAAAATTCACACATCTTACACTTCCATAGCTAAGTCGCTTTTCAAAGGAGTTGTAGATATATCACCACAATCAGTTCGAGTGCTCCCTCCTCCCTACTGCATTCATTATTGCTCCCCAATTCCCCTCCCCTTCCCCACTCCCAACCCCTATGAAACCATTGCCTCGATTATTGTCTCTACGCATTCACTCCTGCGCTTCAAAAACTGGGAACCCTAACAGAAACAATACAAAATAAAAGGAAAAACAATAACACTGTAAAGATAAAAATCAGAGAGTAAGAAAATACGAGGCCACCAGCAATATTTTAAAAAGCCAGAGAGGAGATGTCTGTCATGGAACAAGTGAGACATATTTAAACCTAGAGAGAATTCGGATTGGGTCAAGAGGGAGGTCATCTGACCAGGCATCATATTGCACCGTTGTTCCATCCATTTTTTAATGGCATTTTTTGGTGCATTTTTTAATGGCAGTTCTCACTATAATCTCATAACTCCCACAGAATAATTGGCTGGTGCTATGCAAATTGGGTCACTTGTGGCCTACTGCTGGGATTGGTCAGTTTGTGGTCCGAGTGGGAAGACCATGACTTAAAAGAGACCAGGAGTGGGCTCATATAAAGGGATCCCTGGTGGCCCACTGGTTCTTGGCTGCTAGCTCGAAGGTCAATGATTTGAGAGTGCCAGCACTCCATGGAAGTCATCTTGGCAGTAGTGTGCCTCACTCTCGGTCCCATACCCAGAGGGTTGCTATGAGGCTGAGTCTGAAAGTAGTCGATGACCACCGGTTGGGGTTTTGACTTAGCAAAGGGCTGCTCCACAAAGCTTCCAGAAGATTCTGGGGCAAAGCCTATTCTCTAAACCAAGGACCCAGGGTCTGGCCCTGGAAACCTCTAGACTCAGAAGAAAGATCATAACACAAAGATTACACGAGTCAGGCAGCAGGCTTGCTGGCTCACAGAGTAAGAAGGCTGTGGTGGGTTTTCCAGCCTATGAAGGAGCGCTGAGTGCCTTTAGGCAGGAGGCTTGCCAGTGGGGCTAAAAAGAGATGTCATGCCCATGTAGGCCAAATGAGACCTGGGTGTGCCCCTCTTGGATAGTGTGGTAGGTAGGAGCCACGAGGGCCCTCTGGTAGTGCAGGCCTGGATAGTCTTTGGAAAGCCAGCAGCAGGTGCTTAGAAGAGGCTCAGCGATCCTTTGTGGCGTCTTCCTCCAACCGCAGCGGCCTCAGGCAGTGTGGTTGCGGGAAGCAGCAGCCTCGGGAAGATGTCAACTAACCTGAACCACGGAGTGCCTGCCAGCAATAAAAGAATGAACATGGGTAATTTGAGGGAAGGGTAAGCATTTTCCCTTGGAGAATCAGTGGTTATTGTTTGCTTTCTATAGATAACAATAGTGGCTTCCACCTTGCCAACACTGTGTAAGTGACCAAATGCCAATTGGAATGTTTCAACAAATGGATGCAGTGCTTGATGGGCTCACTCGCCTATGCCAAGAAATTTGGAAGACACCTACCTAGCCAATCGACTGGAAGAGATCCGTAATTGTGCCCAGGTCCAAGAAAGTGAGCCAACAGAACTTGGAAATGATCAAGCAATATGAATCTCACATGCAAGTCAAATTTTTGCGGATGATAATTCCAAAAGGGTTGCAGCTCTTCATCAACAGGGAGCTGCTGGAAATTTGAGGGTGTGGAATGAGGGCTGTCAGGGCTGATGTCAGGTTATCAGGTGGATCGTGGCTGAAAGGAGAGAATACCAGCAAGATGTTTCCCTGTGCTTAATTGGCTATGCAAATGGTTCCACTGTGTGGCTTAATACATATGAATAATGTTTTGAGGAGTGAGAGTTTCAGAACACTTAACTTGTGCTCACACGGAACCAAGAGGCAGTCATTCAAGTGGACCAAGGGGACATCGCGTGGTTTAAAATCAGGACAGAAAGGTGTGACTTAAACGTATACGCTTTGCTCATACGCATTCAGTCTGGATGCTGAGCAAATAATTTGGAAACTGAAAAGCACTTGAGGCACTTACCGATGAAGATCAAAGAACACAACCTTCAGTATGGATCATACCTTAACAGCACACACACACACACACACACACACACACAAAATCCTCACAACTGGATCAATAAGCACCATCATGATAAACTAAGAAAATGTTCACATTCCAGCTGTCAAGGATTTTCATTGACCTGGATCCACAATCAATGCCCATGGAAGTAGCAGTCAAGAAATCAAACAATAGATTGCAGTGGGCACATGTGCTACCAAAGCCCTCTTCAAAGTGTTGAAAAGCAGAGATGTCACTTGGAGGCTTCTCATGCACCCCCCAGGGGGTAATTGAAAGCTGAATGATGAACAAGGAAGACTAAAGAATCGATCGCCTTTGAATTATGGTGTTGGAAGAAGTACAGCCAGAATACTCCCTGGTATATGGTGAGGCTATATGAACATGTTTGCTGGAAGAACCAGTCCCTGGAGATAGACATCGTGCTTGACAAAGATGAGGGTCAGCGATAAAGAGCATCCCAAGGAGATGGACTGACACAGTGGCCGCAACAATGAGACCAAACAGCAATGTCTAGTTGCTGCTTTGTTCTGTTGTACCTAGGGTTACTGTGTGTGGGAACCGACTCCATGGCACCTAACCACAACACAGCACCTCCCCCTTGGAGTATCTGTTGTTGTTTGTGTTCTATGAATATTAATGACGACTATTTCTTGACCAACACTGTGTGTCTCAAGGGCCAACTTGATGAACATCCGAAAACCAAACTCATGGCCATCGAGTCAACTTTGACTCATCGGGACCCCATAGGATGGGGTAAAACTACCCCTGTGGCATTCTGAGACTGTAACTCTTCACAGAAGGAGAAAGCTTCATCTCTCTCCCAGAGAGCTGCCGGTGGTTTTGAACTGCTGACCTTGTGGTTAGCAGTCCAACGCGCACCCATAGAATGGTTGATGCTCCAGCAGTCTGATGGACCCCTGGAAGTTTGAGACACAGCCTGCCTGAATAGACAATGCAAACCAACAGGTATTGTATATCCTCTCTTAGCCCATCCATTGCTATTATGAAGAATTTACCTACACCAAGGACCTACAATGTGTCTGGCATGAGGAAATCAATCTCCAACTTGTCATTCCCACTCACTCGCTTGCTCTTCTTTTATCACCCCCAACCAGAATTCTGAGCCCTGGTGGCATAGTGGTTTTAAGTTGGGCTGCTAACTACAAGGTCAGCGATTTGACCCCGTCAGCTGCTTTGCGGGAGAAAGACAGGTTTTTTTTTTCCTACTCCTGTAAACAGTCTTGGAAACCCCCAGGGGCAGTTTCACCCTGTCCTACAGGGTCTCTATGAGGTGGCATCAACTCCATGGGGATGAGTTTTGTTGGTTTTCTGAATTAAAGGTGGAAAGGGATTATCTCAACAAAAACGGTTTCTAATGGTCACAGGAGCCTTTGCTGGTTCAGAAGGAAATGATTCTACTTCACTTTCATCCAAGAGAACATGTCTGTAGTAAAATTCCGTGTCATCTGTGCACGTCCCATAGTTGTCTCAGTAGGTTTTCATCGCAGCCCTGGGAAGAGATGGGGTAGATTTTGAGCTGCAGTGTTTCAGCTCAGACAACGACCACTTGGGAGGTGTTGGGTCAAGGTTATCAACCTTGGTTATCAACCAAGACTAGTACTGGGCTTTCTGGACCCACAGCCAGCTTTTTGCCACATCCCTCAGCTTTAATTGATGGAAATTTCTACTCTTCAGCGTTGAGCAATAAAATAAAATAAACCCACGGTTGCTGTATTTCTTCTTTGTTGCTGACAATGCACCTGGATCCGGGTCTCTCTTCCTTCCTTCAGCCATGGGAACAATGG